TTTTTATCATCAGCTTCTTCTGCAGCAGTTTCATAACTTCATAACTGTTTATTCAAAGAGCTGCAACTGACGCAACATAATGTAAATGCTCATGTGTAAAATACCAAGAACAATTCGAAGTGGGATTAAAAAAAACCAGAAATCAAAGTGTGTTTTACATTTTTTATTCTAAGGGTTGAAGATGAAATTTCCACACTTGCATTTCCAGCACAAGAGCTTGTAATTAGAGCTGTCATCTTTTTCACTGCCGATCATGAAGAGAGGAACTGAAGCACTTCTCACTCCAGAAGTTGCAGGGACCTGAACTGCTTCACAATCGCTGCAAGCCAGACATCTCCTCTTACACTGAGGTGGCCTTGATCCAATCATGGAGTTCACCCTCAGCACCTCCTGGCCTCCTTTCTGAAAATACACGCGATCACTCCAAGTTCAAATTTTTTTAACATAAAAAGGAAGAAATTGGTCACATGAAGGAGATGGACAATAAAAAATTTCACCTTTGAAAGCTCCTTGTGGATGAACACTGATCTGCCTGCAATTTGATCCAGTTCAAGAAAAGCATACAACTTTATCATGAAACTATAGCGAAGAATGATTAGTTTCATACTTTGGGTGGCGAATGCTCTTTCTTCAGTGGAGGCAGGAAGTTGCAGCACCATGAAAATGAGAAGAAATGCTCTTATGTTTGTTATGGAAGATGAATGGAGAAGCATTTCAGAATGGAGAGAGTAATAGGTTGATGGTTGTTTCTGGAGTTTTAATGGAGTTTGCTGTGCTTCACTGGCTTGGAAATCTCCTCTAAGAGTATCATTATTTGCTTTATCGGACAGAGTGAGAGAGTGATGCAGCAAAGAAGAAGACAACAAGTCAGAGAATCAATGAAAAGGACAATATTTGAACTAGGTGAAGGATATTGCCTCTATGAGGACAGAGGAATCAGAGAGAAGCAAGGTTCTGATGCGAAAGCACGGAAATATCAAAGAGGAAGATGAACGAGGGATTTTGATTCTGCCGTGTTAGGTTGACCGTAAGATTTAAGATTTATGTAAAAAATCTGGACCTGATTTTTTACTTCTTTAGCCGTTTTCTTTAGTAAATCTGATCGAAGCTTAATATCAAACTATATAT